TAATATTAAAAATATGAGAAAAAAGTGTTTCTAATATTTTTTTTTTTTTTTTTGAAAAACAAACAGGAAACAGAAAAACAAAAAAAGAAACTAGGAACACCTCCTAGACCAAACTACTCCTACATAGTCCCTTTCAAGTTTGTCACGACAACCAGAAAGAGGCGAGTCAAACTCTTGTAAAGACCAATCAAAGGAGTAGGCAAAAGAGGCCATCCAATCGGCAACCCCATTCCCTTCCCTATGAATATGGGAAATTCTAACCCTCCAATTCCAATCCAGCATATTCCTTATGCGCAAGACCAAGTTAGAGGCTGGATGATGAGAGCTGCACCCTTCTCTTATGAAAAACTGGGCTACTAAGGAATCATCTTCAAGCCAGACAAAACGGAAACCTTTCCTCCATGCAATCTCAAGCCCAAGGAGACAACCCCAAAGTTCTGCTATTGAATCACCTTAATATTTATTTTTTTAAGTTTAAACAATGTTGCCCGTTTCGTTTTAGCATTGATCTGCATTATTCTCTCTGTATAAATGTTTATGGCCACATAAAATTGAAGTGGAAGAAGATTTGTTGTGTTGATACTTACAACACCCATTGGAATTATGAAAATTCCTTTTAGCTAGTGGTTTTGAGGTGAAGTAATTGTGTTGAAAATTTAGTAAGAAAGGTTTACTGGGTCAGTTCGATCAGAATAGTCAACGAACCAATTAATCAATGAAAAATAAAATAAAAAATATGAATACATTAGACCATATTAAAAAGATTAATAATATATTTATGGTGTCTTATTTAGGATATATATAACAACATTTTCATAAATGTGTGCGTGTGTGTGTGTTTTTTTTAACTTACGAAACAGAAATAATTAAACACAAGGCCGGAGTTCGTTTTTGATGTAGTTACTGCAGATAAGTTATCTGCATTAAGCCTAATAAGACGTCGTTTTGGGACGGAAATTATGGTATTTTTATAAATTTAATTTTTTTCGGGGTTATAATAGTAAATTTCAATACTAAAACAACGTCATTTTGGGAATAAATGCAGATAACTTATCTGCAGGAACTGTAAAAATATTTTTCTGATATATATATATAGGGTTTTATTTTTCTCCTTTCACATCAGAATTTTTTTTTCTCGTTACTAATTAGTGTTTGGATATCTGCTTTTGAAAAAAAAATAGCACAAAAAGCTAAAAACATGGGGCCTATTTGAATATTGTTTTTTAAAAAAATAATTTAATTTTTAGAACAAATAAATAAAAAAATTGTTTGATAAGGTCGTTTTAAAAAATAGTTCTAAAAATTATAATTTTTTTTTTGAATCAAATTTAGAAAATATATCTGATTTTTTTTTTTTGTGATTTAATTTTTAACTTTCAATACAAAAAAATACACATATTTCATTAATTATTCTACAAAATAATTAAAAGAAAACACAGATAAACCCAATGGGTGCAGCTCAGTTGGTAACTTGGCGCTGAGTTAGTGGGTTGGATATGTGTTCGATTCCCGCTGAATTCATTCTTGGGGAGGGGGCTGAACCTTTAGCCATCACTGTTCCCCCGCACTCCGGATTAGTCCCGTAGCCGACTCAAAGAGTCGAAGCTCGTGGGGATACCGGAGGGAGCCAACTCGTCTCAAAGAGATAATTAGGGTTGGGTAACTTCAAAAAAAAAAAAAAAACACAGATAAGAATCAAACAGACCCTTATTTTTATTCTAAGCGAAAATTTCTAACTGTTTTAATAAAAAAAGTCAAAAGTCAAATTTTTTTTTTTTAAATTCAAATTTGTCCTAACCCCTAACTCACCTTGCCGTTGCCACACCCCATCATCATTATCATCGTCATGGTTGCCATCTGCACCACCTCAATAACCCCAACACCAAACAAACTCACCTTTGTCGTCCTTTCTGCTGCCGCTATCACTAGAGGTGAAAATGGGCTGGGCTGGGCCAAATTGTGTCCTAAAAAGCTCAAGCTTACGTCAAAAAAATCAATTTGGCCTGGCCCAAGCGTAATACGAGTCTAACTGTTAGTCTGACTTGACCCGTTTATAAAAAAACAAATGGTCTGGCCTAGTCTGTTAGGGTGTGCATGACAACCATTCTATTTCCGAGCACTGTTTCTGAAAAGAAACAATTCTTTTCTATTTCTGTGCCTTGGAACAGTTTCTGAGAAAAAAAATGTGTTTGATAACATGTTCCATTTTTATTCCGAGAATGAGAATTGTGTTTGATAACACAACAAATAATATAATAAAAAATAATTCTTATTAAATATAAAAAAATTTCGGATCAACTCTTTCCTTTCTATATGGTGTGGTTGTGGTGGTTGTGGCGGCGGCGGCGGCACGGTAGTGGTGGTGGCAGTGACGTGGTGAAGATAGTGGTGGTGGTTGTGACGGCAGTGGCTGCGACGATGGCGGTGATAATGGTGGCAGCGGCGATGGTAGTGGTGGGGATGGTGGTGGTGGAGGTGACGGCAGTGGCAGCGACAATGGTGGTGGGTATGGTGGTTGGTGGCGGCAACAATGGTAGCAGTCACATAGTGGTGGTGGTTGTGAAGGCATCATGGTGGTGGTGGTGGCAGTGGCTGCGGCAGTGGTTGTAGGTGACAATGGTGGTGGTGATGGTGGCGATGGCTTGGTGATGGTAGTGGTGGCGTTGGTGTAATGGTGGCGATGGTGGTGGTGATGACGGTAATGACTGTGACGATGGTGGTGGTGATTGGTGGCGGCGAGGGCGGCGATGGTGGTGAAGACGGTAGTGGTGGTTGGTGACAGTGGTGGTGATGGTAGTGGTGGCGTCGTGGTGGTGGTAGTGATGGCGATGTGGGAGGTGGCACTGGCGTGTGATGGCAATGGTGGCGATGACAGCAATGGTTGCGATGATGGTGGTGGCGGTTGATGGCGGTGATAGTGGTGGTGGCGGTGGCGGCGATGGTAGTTGTGGTGGTGGTGGCATGGTGGTAGTGATGGGTGGAGGTGGTGGTAATAGTGGCGGTGACATCGTGGTGGTGAGGGGTGGTGACGGCGGCACTAGTGGTACGATGGCGGCGGCAACGATGGTGGCGACAGTCGTGTCGGGATTATGGTGATGGTGGTGATGATGGTAGAGGTGGAGAGTGATTGAGAGTGATAAGTGTTTCTCATTTTGAGCCCGGGAACAAAAAAGTAGAAATTTTTTGATTCTTTTTTCTGTTCCCCAGCACAAAAATTAAACCGGTTCATCCCGGGAACAAAAAAATAAACCGATTTTACCAAACGAGTTTCCTATCCATTTCTATTCCCGGGAACAGAAATTAAAAAAGAATTGATTCCGGGAAGGTTGTCATGCGCACCCTTAGCCTGCTAATTTTTAACTTCCAAGCAAAATCATGAATCAACTTTACAAAATACTCAAATTTTGTTGTTAAACCAAAAATCATAATTTCAACGTCCGAACAGAATCATGAATCACAACAAAACTCATACAATCTGCATTTAAGTCAATTTCAAAAGCAAAATGCTCAAACTAAATAATATATATGTCATCAAATCTAACAAATAAATTCATACAATGTAAATTAAAATAACTACATGAATCCAACAAACACATCAAGATGCTTATAGTAAGTATAATATCTCTCAAAAATCTTTTAATTTATTCATATACACAATCTAACATGATGAGATGTTGGTTCCTCCTACATAAGAAAAAAAAGTCAGATTTCTATTAAAATATAATCGAATATAATTAAGTTATAAATAATTGCAACTGATTAAATTTATATCTTTTATTTTTCTTCAAGTCATACTTATTCTATTTTATTTTATCTAAACTAAATAGTACAATATAGGCTGGCCTGTAGGCTTATAGGCCAGGCCTTGTGAAAGTGAGTCTACGGCCTTTTTATTATACAAGCTTTTTAAAAGCCCAAGCCCGGCCTATTTTACAAAATATACTAGGTCAGGTCTGGCCTGACGTAGGCCGAACTGTAGGCCCCTACAGGTCAGCCCGGCCCAATTTCACCCCTAGCTGCCACCACCATCAGTATCACCATATTATGGTCACTTCCACCACTTCACTACCACCCAACCACCACCTATATCATTGTCATTGTCGCTATCTCTGCCCTACCATCACCACCACTACTAGTAATTTCATAAATGAATAGTATTTTTTTAATTTTAGCATACAAATAATATATTTAGTTTTAGCATCCAAATAATATATTTTTTAATTTTAGCATCCAAATAATAATATTAAATATACATTATTTATTATTTACCAAAAAAAGATATACATTATTTATTAAATACACCTCTCTTTTTAGATAAAAAAATAAGTTGTATTATTAAAACTATTCTTTCATTTAATGTTTTTCCTAAAAAAATTACTTAAACAACGGAATCATTATCGTGCTCTTTCTTTCTTTCTTTTTTTGATTAATTTTGTATTTAATTCAAATTTGAAATTCAATATTAATGTAAGTATAAATTAAGGGAAAAATATGCATAATTTTAAAGGATACAAAATTATGTCATTTTGAGTGAGAGAGAGAAATAAATCATGGGAGGAAAAATGAATGAGAAAAGTTTTAAAAGTGTGGATTCTACCTCTTTATGAGAGTGAAAGTATACAACATCTATCGTTTAAATTGACACACATTTTTCTCATAAATTAATACTTTAAAAATACATTGCATTATAACAAATATTCCTATCAAAATTAAAATCCATTTTAAATTATTTAATCATTATAATAGCTTTTCTTGTTTCTGTGCAACAAAACTGTGTTTATTATCCTGCTTCTTCTTCTTTTTCTTTTTTTCCGTTTTGCTTGTATTCTTTTTCCCTCGCTATAGCCTACAGGCACCGTTTTCATTTATATGCATCTGAAAGCGGTTCTTCATCTCAGCTTTCAGATACCTTTGTTTGAAACTTGAAACCGAAAAAGCAGATACATAAACCTTGAAAAAACGGTTATAACGTCGTCTTCATAATTCAAACTCGAAACATCAAGACCCATCAAAACAGCTATAATCGTTTCTTAAACATCGACTTAATCCTCTCTCTTTTCCCCCCAATCCACACTATAATCCACAGCTCCGTAGAACTCTCTATCTTCCCGGATCTGAAAAACAGTGGAATATCAGTCGCCGATAGACACTTGGATGAGAATTTTCTGACACTTTCTCGAAGAAGAAATGCGTAGCCGGGGATCGCAAAGCCGGCTATCTGGTCACACTTTTGGATCTCGAGTTTCAGTTCTCATGTTCGCCATGGTTGCTACCATGGCAACTATTTACGTTGCCGGCCGGTTAGTTATTCTCTTCTCAAATTCTCTTCTTCTTCATAATCTATCATTTGAACTTCAATTTTGGATTACGTTTCGAGTTTTTCTTATGTTGTGTCACGCGCAGGCTATGGCAGGACGCGGAAAGTAGGGTATATTTAATTGAAGAGCTTGAAAAAAGAACTGATCAGGTATGATGTTGGTTTTCTTCATTGAAATAGTCATGTCATACATTGCATATGTGTGATTTGACACAGGTATTTTCTGTTATTGTTAACTGTACATTGCTTCGTTTGTGCGTGAGTGCAATTGCTGTTGTGTTTATTTTTAATTTTTAGCTATCGTCATAGGATATCAATGAGGCAGTATAGTTCATCCGATTTCAGGGTCATTCTGCCGTATCTGTTGATGATACACTGAAAATTATAGCCTGCAGGTAATTTTCTTGTAGTTGTAGCCTAACCTAAGTAATTTTTGGTTGCTGAATTCAAATTTGGCTGAGAATGACCTTTACTCGAGGCAATTGGTAACATTACCTTATTTTCAGGGAACAACAAAAGAAGTTATCCGCCCTAGAGATGGAACTAGCTACAGCTAGACAAGAAGGTTTTGTTCCAAAGCACTTGTCAGGAAATGATGGGAAGCATCCTAAAAAGAAGGTACTTTCAGTTATGGGAGTAATGACAACCTTTGGCCGAAGAAAGAACCGAGATGCAATCCGTAAGGCATGGATGCCAACAGGTAAATTTTTCATTGGTTTGGTTTCCTTTAGCAAGACCACTGCGTTTTAGCCTTCTTATTTTTATTCAGTGGAACGTCTGCTATGTGCACAACGTAGGCTTGAAATTGTAGTTTGGTTTCTGCTTACTGTGATTCTGAGCTACTACTGAATAATAATGATTATCAGGTTTTCCGTTATTTTTTATTTTTTTGCTTTCTTCAGTTTTATCGTTTCCAACATTGTATCTGAATGAAACATGACCAATAACTGGGCTTTGGATTTATTCCTTGTGACGTCACAACTCAGAAGTTTTGACAGCTAGGTGTTGATTACTTCTCAGATTGTTACCTATTTCTGTGGTTTTATAATTTATTTTGGTTTATAAATGTTAACATCATCAGTTATATGTTCAAACAATTACGTTAATAATTCGTTCTTTGAAATTCTCCACAATAATATAATATAGCTTCTGTGTTTTAGTCTTTTAAATTTTTGCTGTAGAATGTAGAAGGCTTATCAGAATCAGAACTCATTGATGCCAAGCCGTTAGGAATTGTCTAGTGGTGAGGGGTTTGGGTAGGTTGTATTAGGTTATGTGTTCAATTCCCACTTGTATCCAAAAAAAGGAACTCATTGATGCCCTAATTGCAGGTACAACTATGAAAAAACTGGCTGATCAGAAAGGCATCATTGTGCGATTTGTAATAGGAAGAAGGTATAGTTTTGGTGGTTCAAATTCAATTTAACAATTGATTGGCTTTTTACTTTTTTAATTCAACTGGCATTTCCTTCTATGCAGTGCAAATCATGGAGACAGTTTGGACAAAGAAATTGAAACAGAAAGCAGTCAGACCAATGACTTCATCATTCTTGTATGTTGACTTTTATACTGATAGTTTCATGTAAAAAATATTTGATGAGAAGTACAGATATAATAACTTTTCCCATGTGAATATGGACTTTGATTGAATGTGCAGGCCTGATACATGCATTAAATATACTTTGCATTGTAAAAAAGTCTTGGTGTCATAGAAATATGGCTTCAAACTTCTTTTTTGGTAAACTCAGAATTTTTTGGCGTTTTTGACTTGTTGCGTTTTGGCCAACGTTTGTTCTTACCCCTTCTCTCTGGACTATTGAGCTTGATGTGGTGATGGACTCCTGGTTGATATTTGGATGCATGGCTTTAAGTTGTATACATATAATTTAATATAAGCAAATTATTTACTCTGCAGGATAATCATGTCGAGGCACCTGAAGAGAAAGCAAAAAAGATAAAATCATTCTTCGTTTATGCAGTTGATAACTGGGATGCTGAATTTTATGCTAAGGTCAATGATGATGTCTACGTTAATCTTGGTATGTGGTCCTTAATTCTGTCTGGAGATGAAAAATATAATGCTTCTCTAGTGATAGACACACACACACAAGGTTTATTTCTGCAAGCCAAAAAGTTTGTTAGAATTAGAAGAAATCATATGTAATGTTCCACAGTTTGCCGTATAACTTCAGAGGGATTGAAGAACATACCAATCACGAAAAACAAACAAGGGAAATTATTGGTACTGGCAGGGTAATATGCTGATGAGCTGGAGTTTCTTGACATACCCCTCCTCAAAAGTTACATAAAAATTTATTGAATTCCCAGAAAATTGTTAAGTTCAGAAGTGATGGCATTGATCAACTGCCAATTGGATTAAGTGGTGATAAGATTAGCTGTGGTAGGACTTGAAACTTAAAAAAAGAGTCCTTTGCTTTCTGAATTCAAATGCCATGAGTACTTTTCCAGTTCTAGTGGTTGATTCAGTGGACTATTAAGATTTGTTATACAACATTGTCATTGTTCACATGCAGCTTTAGATGGACCATTTTCTCCGAAAGATTCTTACGAGTGTTTCAGAATCTAGAAAGTGACACCACTTGTAGGATAAAATTATATCTGACTTTGAGGTACTCACGGGGACAGGAGGTAAAAGAGAAGATTGAGTAGTTTAACAGATTACATTTCTGGTTGTTTAATTGATAAACTGTTTTAATACCAACAGTGCTGCTTTTGAAATGAGGTGCCTTTCCAAATCAAGGAGGATGCAGAGATCTCTTGTTTTATAGCTGAACTAGATTGAATTTGTCAACTTAGATGTCTTGCATTCAGCACTTATCATTGGACTAAAAGATATAGCTGCCAGCCAAGGCATAACTTTTTCTCCTTAAGTTTAACCCATAAAAGCAAAAAATCTCAAATATCCTTGATCATGAGACATATAATTATCATTGTAAATAAGAACCAGAATACCTACAATAGTGATTAATATTGTCATAATAGAAGTAAGTGAATCAATGAAGTATCCAAACTCTAAAGAAAGATCGGCATTTATAGTCCAAGACCATACATATTGATATATAAAACTTTCATGGATTTGATGAATAGACAGGTCAATAGAGTAAATCATAACTATAGTTAGCAATAAAATACTAGGAAAGGCCCACTTACGGCGAAGATATTTTGTTGCCACAGGAAACAGCAGAAGTCCAGCCCTTATTAAGCACCACATCAATCCCACACCTCACACCTACCTCCTTAGTTCTTTTTCCTTCTTGAGGAACCAAAGATGTGATCTTAGCTTTTATACCATTTGTTGGATCAAGTTCTTTCCCGGCTTCAAGTTATAAATAATAGCCTGAGTACAGAATTTTTTGTCTAAGTTTACCTGCCCAAAAACCACATCGATCTTACTCTGATTCAACCCTCGGTCCTTGCCGATGCAGGCTGGTGGCCCACGTGGCCAGCAAGATGACAACGGAAAATCCACCGTCATAAACACTGTTGACCCAGAGTTTCTTCTAATTTCAGTCAGGTGTTTAGAGGTGACTGGAAAAATGAAATCTATACTCTTGTGATCCAACTGGCTAAATGACGTTTAGATGAACCAATTTCAGAAGTATTTTAATTTGCAATGAAGGTTATGGTGTATAGGCTTTACTTGTAATTTTCTGAACATTATTTTGTTTGCTTCTGTAATGTTTACTGGAACTTGATGGTTCTTTGCTGTATCACTGGTTGTATGACTTAATTTCTTCTACAGATGCCCTTGGAGGAGTACTAACTTCTCATTTGGATAAGCCCCGTGTTTATATTGGTTGTATGAAATCAGGCGAAGTTTTCTCTGAACCGTGAGTCTTATCAAAATGTTTCATTGGGCTATAAGAATAGTTTATTATGGTATTAGAATTCTTCTTTTTTCTCATTTTGTCTGAATCTTGCAGGACACATAAATGGTATGAGCCCGACTGGTGGAAATTTGGCGATGGAAAATCGTGAGTAATACAGACTTAATTGTTCATTTTATTTTTGTGATGGTAGAATATTGATACCAAAGCTAAGATTCTCCTTTCTAGGATATTACCTGAGATATTGCTTGATTTGAGAAAAATTTCTAATTTGTTTTTAATTTAGCACAAGTTTGTATGATGCTATCACTTTTAAAGCCATTTTTCAGAAAAATTTACCCAATTTACAGATACCTTATCAAAAGATGTTTCATTCCCATGATATGAATTTCTTGATGAGCTTATACAACCGTAGAATTTTAACCAATGATGATAATTGAACCGGTCTGTGGAAGGCTTGGGTATAAATATTGCTGTATAAAAGCTAAGGAATGAAAATTTCCACTGATGATGATGTACATAAGTATCAAACAACACTTCAATGTCATTTGCCCCTTATAAATTGGATTATTTTTTATTTTGTTTTCATGAATATAAAATTACTTTGTCTAAATCATGGTGCTAGATCCAGAAATTGTTTCTCGCTCCCTCTCTCTCTTCCTGGTCTTGCTTTGTTGACATTGATATTCATGCTTGTTTGGTATAGATACTTTCGACATGCTTCGGACGAGGTCTATGTCATTTCAAAAGCATTGGCTCAGTTTATTTCAATAAACAGGTATGGTTTTCCTTTTCTTTTACTGGTGTGTTAAAAATGGTTGTAATAATTATATCAGAATGCCGTATCCAAATGAAATGTTTGCTTTGCAGATTTATTCTTCGTACATATGCACATGATGACGTAAGCACTGGATCATGGTTTATTGGGATTGATGTGATGCACATTGATGAAAGGAAGTTTTGCTGCACCTCCTGGGACTCAGGTCTCTTTCTTTCTACCCTTTCTGTCACATATTCATGCTTGCAATTTATATGGTTTGGAGTTAGGACCTTATCCATTCAACAATTATGGTTTGTGATTAGAGGTGAACACCAATGTCTAGCGTGGAAGCTAGTAATTATATTTACGGAGCTAATTGAAGAGATAACTGGCAATGGAAGGTCCAGTACCTCAAGCCAAGGTCCAATGGTAACACTGATAAGGGCTGAGTGTGTGAATTTTGGGAATTGTGAGAGCTCTAGGGCATAAAAGTGTTGTAGAATGCGATGAATGTGAAGTGTCCTCCCCATGGGTACTGTTCACATATTTATGCAGACCCTAAGAGCGGTTATGTGATGTTAGTGGCCCTAGAACAGTTACTCCCAGATGGTGATCATGGGTGCCAGAATAAGGGAGAAGATCGTGGATAGACACACGACCTGAGCTGACAGGCTGGAGCCCTGGCTAGTAAAGTTCTCTCTAAGCAGGAAGCCTTATCTAGCCTTAGGCTCTTCTAACGGGATCAGGGGTCATACCCGGAATAGTTTGGCTTATGAATAATCATATCAATATTACACACATTGGCCAAGTTGAGCTGTAAACAGAAATAACCCCTAGATTATCACTTTTTTTCTTTTTTTTGGGAATCATTACAGTGCTATGACGTGTAAAACACAACTGACCAACTACTTAAGCCATTACTCGTGGGTTAATGGTGGGCGATCTAGGTAGTTTGCAGGAGGTATTAGACTCATAGGTTTAAACCTCTGTTATTATTGTACCTAAAAAAACTAGAACTACTTAAATCAAAGTTTTAGTTGGTTTTATTGAGGTTAAATAGCACTGCCACTGCAATTGGACATTTAAATAAGATAATTTGTAATAAATTCAGATTAAAGAAGATAAGGCTAACAAGATCGTAATTAAACAAATCATATTGAATGTGTATTATCTTTACTGTTATGAGGTAATATTAATCTTGATTAGGCTTTATATTGGTTAACTGATGATTCGGCTGGATTGGGTCAAAGTATTACGAATAGAGTATCAATTTTCTTTCGCTTTCTTAGCAAAGAAGATTTAGAATACACGCGCACAAAAAAGGTGATGGATTTAGCAATTTCCATGGTTCCATCTTTCAGGGGCAATATGTGCAGCAGTATGACGACTTGCCACTGACATTTTGAGTGACATAGGAAGGATGTATAGCAAACAGAATCCTGTTACTTCGTTCGTCATCATTTTTGCTTCAGGTGATTTTCCATTCTGATAATTTTCAACCAGAAGTTGATTCTGCCACTTGAAGGCGGGGAGCTGGCTGTTAGGAGCTCTGTGACAATAAATTCTTACAAACATGCTCCTCAGGATTGTTCAAAGTTATTGAGAAATGGGCATCATGCTTGTTTGATTTTGAGAAACTGATTCTTCTCCATTTAATTATGTAATATAAATAGCTTCGCCTATCATTTTTACTCCATGGGATAAATGAAATATATTCTTATGGTAATTTTATTAAAGAAAACATTTTTATTATCGGAGTTTTGATGTCCATGTTGAATTCACTCATGATTGTAGGTTGGTCATTCTTAGATTCGAAATGGCAATCTATGCTGCATAAAGTACGATGCATTCATGCCCCTTTTGCTTAGTTCAATTTTTTATTTGAATCGCACGGAACATTTCAATTAAAAGCACTGACACGTTCCTCTACATAGTTATTTTATATATTTTCAAGAAAATTTAAGAAATAGATTATTTTATTTTATTCTTATATGATATATGGCTTTAGGTATTAATTGAGCAATGATATTAGCGAACTTGTTTAACGCTTTATATACATGCAATATTACTTCATGAAAATTCAGTTACATCTATCACTTTTTATATACATTTTTAATATTAAAAAAATAGGTGTAAAATTTCGAAACCCACCGGCTGGATGCATATTCTGCAGCAAGATGTAACTGGAGTAGCGACCCCTAGGTTATGCGTTAGTTGTTTTTATGTTCATTTTCTGTTTTTAAAAATATTAAAAATAAAAAAACCGACACCCAGTTCAGCCACATTTTAGTTACATGCGAGTATCATTTCTCATACTATTTTCCTTCTTCCCTGTTCTGTGGCAAATGTTATGGGTGGAGTGGGTTTCGATTACTCTCTTCAACTACCTTGTTGCCTGCATTACATCCAAACGGGATTTTTTTAGCTGAAGCATTTTACGGATATTTGGTGGGCTTATTCCTTGCCTTTGATTATGGAAAGGAATATGTTTTCGCGATTTGAAGTATTTGTTAAAGTAGGAAATAATTATTATTTAACGAGATTTATTATTCTTATCTTAAGGGGGCGTTTGGTACCGGAGAAATTTTTAAATATGATTTTTGTATTCAGTTTACGATAATATCTGAAAATTTAAAATTTAAAAAAATTCACTTTCCCGAAAATCCCTCAAAATCTCGCGTACCAAACACCCCCTAATAAAATTTATGTCCTGTACACAAATTCAATATGGGTTCATTTTACTTTTTCTCTCTATCATACACACATAATACTTATCTCTGCTACGGATTTTGGTATGAGAGGTTCTTCGTAAATTCTCATGACAAACTTTTTTTTCCCGGTACATCAACTGGAAGTATTCTGGTTAATGATAAGTTGTTAGACGCAACTTCTGGGAATTTCCTTTAAAAGCTATTTTAGAGGACACTTCCTTTACGTATCTGACGGACAGTTCTTCTTACACTCCAGGGCGAGAAATAAAAAAATTTCAAAAGTTAATCTCCAGTTTCTAATTGAAACCAACTTGGCGTCAAGGATATAAATTCTATTATGAGGTCTGAACCTCAATTTTGCTTCTAATATTATCAAATATTATAAAAGTAAGCAAACATCTTAAATTTCAAAGTGATATTATATTTTAGTTAGAATAATTAACAATACATCATTTTTCTCTAAAATGGCCGGCGCTGCTGGACTATCTGCACTCTCAAATTTCTGGTTTATGATTTGTTAATGGGTCTTGCTGCGAGCAATCATATTCATAAGTTGATTTGTTTATTTTTTTTTGTATATCCTTTACTCATTTTTCTTTTCCGAATATTCATTCACGTTGACCAAGCAAAGTACACCGACAATTCTCAAAAGGATAAGGTATTCCATTTTCCCTTTAGCTTTTTTCTTTCAAACTCTCACGCCCACTTTATGATGAGTACAAGTTTCCAACTTTCATCTCTTTTCGTGTGTAATGTAATTTTCACAAACTGAAAAATGAATTCATTTCGTCTTTAGATCCAACAAAACCAAGGTTCCTGTCGCTATCCCATGTTTTGCCCTTTTTATTGTATGACAGTTTGCGAATTATCTTTCTTTTTTTTTTGGATAAAAGATTGCGAATTATCTATTCTCCCTCTCAGCATTAAGATCTGACTTGCATGTTCCACAATCCACCAACTTTCCCTCGTACTACACGGCAACTCATTTTAAGGTTTGAACAAGGCTCAGTCTAATCTCTTTGGGGGGTTTGAGAGGGCATAGTCTGATTTGTCACGTAAGTGGGTCGGTCGTTAATTCTGGTATTGCAGAATCATATCTTCCTATTAGAGTCCACAGCAGACGTTGAAATTTGAAAACCCTTCAACGAAGTTCAACTTCAACACATCTATATAGACCATACTGCCCTTGCTTCGTTGAGTTTTTAACCAATAATCTTTTCGCTTATAAAATGTTTGTAAGCCTAATAATATCATAGATTTGGTCCGAGGATTATGTTTATGAACCCTTAAAAATATGACCTTTTCCATTTCATTAATTCTTCAAAACCCGTCCTTTATTAAACATGACAAGGGGCATGCTATTGCTAACCCCCAACTCCAAAAAAGTATTGACTTTCCACCCTGGCGTTTTCCCCTTTATATGTCGGGTTTCAGTTTTTGTTTCTCTGTGATAACTGAACTATAATTAAGGATAGCGGTTTGGAACTGGTGGTGCCGAAAATTTATTACTCGTTTCTATCTTTTGTTTTGGATTGGTATTACTTGAATGGGATTTGGTTACACCCCTTCTTCTCCTGTATAAAAGATGGTCTTGTTTATTTGAAAGAAAGAAGGCAAGCGATTGGACAAAATCCTGACAACAATTACAATCCTTCTTTCTGGACCTTTGTTTAAGGTAGTTGGAGGAAGTTGATGTTTTGGGTTAATCTTCACGGAAAAACTTGGTTTGTTGTCATAGGAAGCCCATGATATTTCAACTGCTTCCGTGACTGCTGAACCAATTCTGTCACGTCAAAGTTGGTTTTCTTAACGTCCGTGAAATCAGTTTTGATATCCATAACTTAGAAAGCGAGGGACAGCCAAAGATACCGTTTGTTGTTTCTTGAATTGATATCCTCAGTGTGGATTTTGGAGATGAATAATTCTGGTGCAGAAAGTGATAACCGAGCAGCTATTGAAGTTACCAAGGACAGGAATGGAATAGACCAAGTCGTTCTTCGAAACTTTAGAGGAGCTTCAGCAAGGGTCAGATTATTTTAACTCTTTTCCTCATCCTACCCCTTTGATTGAGAGCAAAATTCCTAGTTTCTTGATGCTAACATGCATGACACCTCTCCAGGTTAGCTTGCATGGTGGACAAGTTCTTTCGTGGAAAACAGAACGTGGTGAGGAGTTATTGTTCACTAGTAATAAGGTAAATGAGGTTTTTTTTTTGTCTCTTATTTCTTAACAATTATTAATTAATCTTGAATTGAGTTTGTAAAATTTTTGTTTATGACATTTCTTTCTATCCATTCAGGCAGTCTTTAATCCTCCCAAACCAGTACGAGGAGGAATTCCAATCTGTTTTCCCCAGGTATAATTTTTATTTTATTTTATTTAATACTATCTAATACTAAGTTACATATATATATATATATATATATATATATATATATATGTGGATAGATAACAAGTGGGGTTCTCGTAATTTTTCCAGTTTGGAAACCGTGGATCACTAGAGCAACATGGATTTGCCAGGAACAAGATATGGGTCATTGATCAAAATCCTCCACCACTTTCCAGTGATTCCAATGGAAAAGTCTATATTGACTTGTTGCTCAAACCATCCGAAGATGATATGAAGATATGGGCTCATAGGTACGGGCTTAATTAGCATTTAATCCTCTATTGTTTACTAACATCAGAACCAGCATTTTACTTCTGAATTTAGGGGGCTGAGAATAACTGAGATCAATTGGGAGTATATATAACTATAAAAGGACAAAGTGTTTGAAAACCCGTTCTGTTTTGGTCCCAATCTCTATATGTGAATTACATCTAAAGACAAATGAATTGTTGCTATGAATGTACAAACCCCCAAAGCATGTAGATAGCTCAGTTCCTGACATGCCTGGCCTACAAAAGCAAACCATAGGCCAAAGAAAAAAATTATAATCTCTTCACATTGCATCTAACCTTGTAACGTATTGTCTTCAACTTCATGAATATAGCACATATATATATATATATATCTCATGCTTCTTGAAATTGCTGAACGATAACATTCTATATACTGTTCTAAATTATTGTATTCAGCTTCGAGTTTCGCCTAAGGATCTCTTTGGCAGCAGATGGCAATCTAACTATGATATCTCGCATCAGGAATATCAATAGCAAGCCTTTCAGTTTCTCCTTTGCGTATCATACTTATTTCTCCATCTCTGACATCAGGTCCGTATGCTATGCCAACAGTTGCAAGAAAACATGGACTTTTGTTTCAAGGAATCAGTCTGTTCACCTAAAAGACTAAATTTTTCATGAATATGACCTCATGGTAATATTTAAATTTTAATGGGTTGCTATATTTGACTAAGCATAACCCTTGTTGGTTATTGACAGTGAAGTGAGGGTAGAAGGGTTGGAAACTCTTGACTACCTCGACAACCTATGCCAGAAGGAACGTTTCACAGAACAAGGAGATGCTTTGACATTTGAATCAGAGGTGACGCCACCGATGATGTTTTCATTTAAGTTCAATTTGCTAAGATCTTATTTTCCCCATGTTTTAGGTGGATCGGGTCTATCTTGATTCTTGCAATGTGGTGGCTGTTCTAGATCATGAAAGGAAGCGAACATTTGTGATACGAAAGGAAGGACTTCCGGATGTTGGTAAGGTTCTTGTATAGGAAACACTTGCACACCAAAATCAAACACCATTTGTAGGCTTCTGTTATTTCGTTACACAAAACAACATAACACTAAAACTAAACATCCATATCAACTTTGGTATATTGCATAGTTGTTTGGAATCCTTGGGAGAAAAAATCCAAGTCGGTGGTGGATTTAGGGGATGAAGAGTACAAGCAGATGCTCTGCGTTGATGGTGCAGCAATTGAAAAACCAATCACCTTGAAGCCAGGTGAAGAATGGACAGGTCGCTTAGAACTCTCTGTTGTCCCTTCTACTTGATTTGAAGTGACTATTTGTATGAATACTGAAAGCAAATACTAACAAAAATAAACCACCAAGCATTGTTTTTTGGGTTTTCTATTGGTCATGTTACATACCTAAAAAAATGTTCCTACACACATATTCAAGAGGAGAGAAAAAGTGGAACGAGAAAAAAGAAAAAAAATCATGTGAACCTACCTCTTAAATATATGTGCAGGAACATTTCTTTAAGTCACGTAGACAAATATAAAAATATGAAAACCTTGTTTTTTTTTTAGCAAGTATTAGTTATCTGTGAAAATCTTGTAACCTTAAAGTCATAAGCATGTAAATAAGAGAGGGGACCTCAAATCAAAGTTGGTTCACTGTGGATTGAAATATTCCCAAAAAAACGCATGTTATATAACTTAAATAGAGATGCATATGTTCAAATCAATCCCTTTTCTAATGTATATGTGTAAGTGATGCACATGAAATTGTTGCAATTTGCCCGGAATTGGACCCTTCTGAAACGCTGCCCAAAGTTGAAATTAGGAGGTTTAGCGAAATTATTACAAGGTGATTAGTTTAAGAATATATTTTTTGTTCTTTAATTTTTATTTATTAACGAGTACAAAAATTCCATTTTGTTTCGTGGTTTTATAGACTTGCACATATTTTTAAAGATTTGTACAAGAAATGGTCATTTCCGAATCGTGTGCCGAAGCAAGGTGTTCCTTTTTTTTCAGGGGAGCTAGGAAGGGAAGAGAATTTTTTGTTTTTATCATTTCGTGTATAAATCTTTAAAAACAAAAAACAAAATAAAAAATGTGATGTTTTTATGATTATCAGTGAAAAGAGAAAATAGAAATAGAAAATATTTTCTTGAACAGAATAGGTCTTATATTTTCTTCTTTTCCATAACGGTATCATTATGACATTATGGATCTGAAAAAGCAAAAAAATAAAATAAAACGATAAAAGATAGAACTATGAAATGCATTGAACATTTCCCTTTAAACAGATATGGGCTTTAAAAGAAATAGAAATTGACGTATCTCTCCGTGGGTTTTTTTTAATTCGGTTGTTGATATTATTATTAAATCAGCCGTTAATGCATATCTTCAAAACAGATATGTGTTTAATTCCGTTGTTGATATTATTATTGATTGAAGCAGCTACCACAATCAATTGCCAACAACGACTGCAAATAAATAAAGGACTCAAGAGGTTCGAAGAATAAAATTCAGCTGATTTGCCGACAATATTTATTTATAGTGCAAAAAATAAGGTCCATCAAGTTTTACGTAAGAAACATTAGGGCTTTCAGGATCACACGGCTGATGCCCAAACATTGTAAAAAGATAAATCGCAATATTTATGTACAATATAAACCTAAACCAATACTAATGATTTCTGTACATTTTTTTGGCTCTTCTTCAGCATTAAAAGCTCACTCAAATTATTAAAGACATCCCTGCCGATGACGGGAAATTTTCAATAGCAAAAATCTCCTTTCTTTTTCAAGAAATCAAATTGTGGACCAAATAATGGTAACAGCTTATATATATATTGGGAAATAATTTTTATATATATATTGTAAGAAAAGAATTATATCATATAATAAAAATAAAATTATAAATGAGATTCACAAATAAGAGGAGAGGGGAAAAATAAAAATGAGATCCACCTCTATTTTATGTGTATAAAAAATTTAAAATATAACCCCATATATAATAGGGAAAAATATTTTCTCATGTTATAATCTTTCGATCTGCGTACAAAACTTTTCTTTTCTTTTTTCTCTCTTTTTAATAAATATAGGGCTCATTACTAGTTGAATTACAATGTGATAAAATCAAACTCATGTGATAGACACAAACCCACACCAACCACTATTTGACTTTAACGTAACAATAATGAAGATTTAATCCATTCCATTCCCGACCAGCAACGGCTTTTCTTCCAGACAACGAACTCTTTTTAAGGCTTTGCTATGCCTATGACTCTATGACTATATGAGAGCCATAAAAAAGGAGATTTTTTTTTTTTGTAAATTAAAAAAAAAAACTTACTCCATTCACTTTATCTATGTTATCTTATTTATTTATTTATTTTTTTAAAATTACAAAACCATAGCCGTGCATAATTGATTATTGTCGTGCAAAAGACCAAAAGCGTGAAACAATTATTTTGAATTGTAAATAACGATATATAATATACTGCCAGGGCTAGTGAACTGGCTATAACTCGATCAAAACTGAATACGCGAAAATTTGAATTATAACAAAATAATTCTTAATTAAAACTCCATAAAATAAAAAATAATTTTCCGTAAAAATCATTCCTTGCCAATGGATGGGGCTGAAACCGATAATCCTACCATTTGTGTATAATTGAAAAATTTCTTTAGAGTTTTTGGGTGTATCTTCTACTCAAAATATGATACGTATTTTATTTTTTATTAAATCACTTTCTTACCTGATTTTGAAATAAACTATTTATTAATAATTTGATAAAAATAAGACACATGTCACGTTATGAGTGAAAGATACACCGAAAATTCAATGCACCTATAACACTAAAAATATTCTCGTATAATTGGCGGTGCACATTTCTATTCATTAATTTTATAAGGGTCAGGATCATTTAACACCAGTATAAGTTACACTCTCAATCTTATCCGTTGATTCCACTTATATCTAAGGGCTCTAATTTTTTAGTAATATGAGTCATTGGGTACAAGTGGATCAATAGTCAAGATTGAGTGTAAGACTATTAACTCTTACACCGATGTAAGAATATCCTGCCTCATTTTATAACACTATTTATGCATTTACAATTACTGGGTGGCATTGTAGTTAATTTATAACTTTGCAAAATTACACGTACGACGTTACATAAAAATATTTACAACTCGAATCAAATTATTTGCGTAACTGCACATATCTATGACTGGGGCGGTTGGGTAAGTTTCTATGTTTTGGTTGGGCTATTGGCAACATAAATTATGGTAGCTGGGAATTTTCAATGTTAGGGTAAAATAGCTAATGATGATTTCCCTAATCACTCCATCAACCACTTCACACGCTAGTTATTGCAGATAAATAAAGGGATTAGTGTTTTTTAAGAAAAATCACCATTCTAAAATTTTTGGGCAAAAAAATTAACCAATTAAAGTTGATTGAATAAGTTTTTCTAAACTAATGCAATCAAACACGTCACTGATACTGACGGAAACGACGGACCTGTGTTATTGCAAGTGACCGCAAGTGCAGTCATAAATTTTTTGAAAAAAAGAAGAAGCTGCAATCAGATATCACGACATATTATTCATAAAGCATGTTGCTTATACATGTGCATCCCATAAATATACGTTGATCACATAACATATGTCCATCATTCCAACATATAAAGTTATGTTCATCAGAAAAAAATGAATATGCATTTGGAAATAATATGTATTTCAATAGTCAAAACGACATAAGAAAGCATTGTTACAAGAGGTATTCATATTTAACTTTGTCGCCATGTAGATAAAATTATGCTACGATTGGAATTTTTAATCTAAACACAGATTTTTAGGATCATTCTAGCCTTTGTTATTATAATAATTAAAAAAATTAATTTTAGTTAAAAAAGTTAAAAAGGAAAATATTATGAAAGTGGGATTATAAAATAAATATTTCATCCTTATTTGAGAAATAAAAGAGGAACACTGTAATATAAATTGTCCTCTATAACAATTCCTAACGTGTTAATGGTGATTAGTGCAAATTTCTTTTTATTTTTTAATGCATTTAAAATTTTCTTTAAAAAAAAAATTCCAGGATTACCACTAAATCTGCATACATAAATAAAATTTTCTAGATTCGCCATTGAGTCCCGTCAATGATACTGACGGGACTCGTGTCATTTCAGCACCATATAGGCAATCCTGTTACCGTAAAATTTCGGAAGACCATAATTTTTGAGTCGGGTATCCAAATCAGATGATTTTATTTTTGATTTCACATAACTTTTCGAGATCTACGCAATAACACCTCATTTGACATATTTTATCTCCCACAAACATAGTTCGAATTTGTAACCATGGTACCACAATCACAAGAGCGCTTAAATCCAGAAGATGGCACATACGTCAACTCATGGAATTGGGTCAGAAAGAACTCAGGATCTTCTCGATTTGAATGATCTTATAATTGTGGAATTATTGTTGCAAATTTCAACAATATTTGTGGGAGATAAAATATGTCAAATGAGGTGCATTGCGTAGATCTCGAAAAGTTATGTGAAATAAAAAAAAAATCTATCTGATTTGGATATCCGAATAAAAAATTATGATCTTCCGAAGTTTTACGATAACGGGATTGCTTATATGGCGTTGACATGTCACGAGTCCCGTCAGTATCAATGACGTGTTTGACTGCATTAGTTTGGAAAAACTTATCCAATCAGTTTTATTTGGACAATTCTTTTGCTTAAAAGTCCTAGAATGGTGCTTTAGCCGTGTTTCTCAAGTTACTGGAGATAAAATTACACACATATACAAACATATAACCTATATTTTCTATTTTTTTCTCTTCTTTTCACACGAGCTTACATAAACTTCACGTATACAACATGAAAAATATTAATACAATAAAAATATGGGAAAACTTTTTGTATTTTGAAAAGATGTAAGTTGTATCCTTTTAGTTTTTTACTCTATGTACTTCCGGTAGTACATAGTTATAACATGAAAATTATATTTTTTTTTCCCTCCTCAGTCACATCAGCTAATGTGGAAAATGAAAAAAAAATAAAAAAAATTTATGTTACAACTATGTACTATCAGAAGTACATAGAGTAAAAAACTAAAAAAACATAATTTACATCCTTTAAAATAAGACACACTAAACTCTTAAAATATTCATTCATACCCACTCAAAAACCTTTACCCGTGACAGGCCAGATCTTCCAAAAAGGCCGTAGTCTTTCTCCAGAGGAAAAGTCGATGAAATTAGTGCTCTGGGACAAGGGCCAAACTCACAGATAAAAATATAATTTTATTTAATGATAAAAATTAGAAAAATACTATTATCATTTTATATGAGATAATTATTTTATATTCTCTCACTTCAAAATTTTTATCCCCTCTTTCATTTTTTTAACGGATTTGCATTTGTCATTTAACATGACACAACAAAGTTTCTTACATACACAATATTTTGTGGCGCTCACACTTTTTTAAGAAAAAAAATTATGGCACACAAAACGAATCTCTATAATATTATACAATCATTTTTCCTATAACATAACCCTTCTTTAATAGTGAGTTCTACTGAGTGAACAAGTCTCGCATAAAATGAGATTAGTATTCCCAAGTTAATATTATTAATGAAATATCTTATACAGCTTACCGCTCTCATAACTTAATGACCAATTAAAAGAGTTATTGTCACATCTTCACGAGTACATAAGTTGTTGAACATTAACGGCTGATTTCATAATAATTTATTGGTGGTTGTTAATTCTTCTTAAATTTGTTCGTAAATTACCACCCAATAACATTTCTTTTATTAGTAGTAAGGGGATGAATTTTTTTATGTTGCAGTTGATAACACCATTTCCCAGCAAATACAAACGTATGCGGGTCTTATCATTTATTATTAAAGAAAATAAAAAACAAAAAACTCAAAAATCAATCTCTCTATACACGAATTACTGTTTACATTCCTGCAGATGAAGAATAGTATTTCCGATTAATATATCAAGAGTTTCAACTCAAACCGAGAAAACACAACACTGAATTGTCACCAAGTAAGTGAGAATACATCACCTAAATATTAATAATCATCAATTCAGTACCCACACATATTTTTCTTATAAAATCAAGTTTGTCTCTTACATGCATTCATTCTTTGGGCGCGAGTATGTGCCATCTATTTTGCTACTTTTTCTAAAAAGTAAAAATTAAAAAGCATTATATTATTTTTTAATGCCACTAAATAAATAATAAAAGATATATAATATAAACGAATCTATGCGTCCTTCTAAGATAAATTGACGATAAATTATAAATTCAAACACATTGTGTCGGAACTTCGTATAAATTTTAGTTTCTGGAGTTTACCATCTCTGCTCGAAAGTTACCACAAGAAAAAGAACCAAAAGAAGGTGGAACATGCTGCTTTTTTTCTTCGGTTAAATAAAACCTTAGTGAAACTGCGAGCACATTTTTTAATGCACAAGTTTCTCAGTGTCGGATTCTACTGTTGTCAATTCAGAATTCCATTTTCATCCCTTTTCAGTTTTTCCTATTTCATTTTGGTTAGCAGGGAAATTTTGTGTCTGTTTTTTGTTTGTTTGTTAACAGTAAAGCAGTTATGATTGGTTTCAGTGTATGCAGCAGGAGCAAAGCAGTGTGAATGAACTGAACAAGCAGAAAATGGAATTCCCACGCATTTTGTGTTCCATTTACCTGGTGGTGGGTTTGATGCTGTGGCAAGGAAATGCAGAACCAGTTGAAGATAAGCGAGCTTTGTTGGATTTTGTGAACAAGTTCCCTCCTTCTCGTGCTCTGAATTGGAATAAGAGTTCTTCCCTTTGTACCACTTGGATTGGAGTGACTTGTAACGAAGATAAGTCCCAAGTTATAGCCATTCGATTGCCAGGGTTTGGATTTCATGGCACCATTCCTCCCAATACAATAAGCCGCATCACATCACTCCAAATATTGAGCCTCAGATCCAACTATATAAGTGGCCATTTTCCTTCTGATTTTTCTAATCTCAAGAACCTTTCTTTGCTTTATCTTCAATTCAACAATTTCACAGGTCCTTTGCCTGACTTCTCTGCTTGGAAAAATCTCTCTGTTGTCAATTTGTCCAATAACCTTTTCAATGGCACCATTCCCCTCTCGCTTTCCAATTTGACTGAGCTTGCTGTTTTGAATCTTGAAAACAACTTGCTTTCTGGTGAAATCCCTGATCTCAAGTCGCCTATGTTGCAGCAACTGAATTTGTCTAACAACAGTTTGCACGGTGGTGTTCCTATCTCCCTCCAGAGGTTTCCTACGTCAGCATTCGTTGGAAACAATGTTTCTCTTGGAAGCTCTCCTACCATTTTCCCTCTAACTATTCCCTCTTCCCAACCATGTTGTTCTAAATCTAACAAACGTAATAGAAGGCTTGTGTTGGGAGTTATTGTTGCTGGTGCTGTTCTAGGCCTTGCAGCATTCCTTGTTTTTATCTTTGTATGCTGCTCAAGAAGGAAGGATGGAGATGCCTTAGCTGGGAAGTTGCAGAAGGGAGAAATGTCTCCGGAGAAAGTAGTCTCAAGGAACCAGGATGCAAATAATAACCTTGTTTTCTTTGAGGGATGTAATTATGCCTTTGACTTGGAGGATTTGTTAAGGGCTTCTGCTGAGGTACTTGGTAAGGGAACATTTGGTGCTGCTTACAAGGTCATACTAGAGGATGCAACCACAGTTGTTGTCAAGAGGTTAAAGGAGGTAGCTGTTGGAAAGAAGGATTTTGAGCAACACATGGATATGGTTGGAAGTCTTAAACATGAGAATGTGGTTGAGCTCAAGGCATATTACTATTCCAAAGATGAGAAATTGATGGTATATGATTACTACAGTCAGGGGAGTGTCTCTGCTTTGTTGCATGGTATGTAGCATGAATTATTTTTCCTACAAATTATTTTTTAAATAATTATTGATGCTCAATTGTTTAGGATCTTTCCTTATTTTGAGTGTATCATCCGTGGCAGCATTCAAAGGAAAGGTTGCTTATATGTTTGGTATATTAAATTAAACAACTCAAAACGTTGTCTCAGAATTCAGCTATGACAAAATTGAATGTATAGCATAAGATTTGAAGTTTGAAATATAGACTGTACATACATACATACAACACACCTCAGAAGAACTGTACTGTCTTTGTTTGAACACTACTGCTTTGTGAAATTTTCAGGTAAAAGAGGAGAGGATAGGGTGGCTTTAGATTGGGATACTAGAATCAAAATAGCTTTAGGAGCTGCACGAGGCCTTGCTCATATCCATTCAGAGAATGGTGGGAAACTTGTACATGGCAATATCAGATCCTCAAATATGTTTGTCAATACTAAACAGTATGGTTGTGTATCTGATCTTGGCCTAGCAAACATAATGAACTCAGTTGCCCTACCCATCTCACGAGGTGGTGCTGGTTACCGAGCACCAGAAGTTACAGACACACGGAAAGCAGCACAGCCTTCAGATGTTTACAGCTTTGGTGTGGTGTTACTTGAGCTTCTGACTGGGAAATCCCCTCTCCACCCAACTGGTGGCGATGATGATATTGTTCACCTAGTTAGGTGGGTTCATTCAGTAGTGAGAGAGGAGTGGACAGCTGAAGTATTTGACTTGGAACTTATGAGATATCCTAATATAGAGGAAGAGATGGTGGAGATGTTGCAGATAGCCATGTCATGTGTAGTAAGGATGCCTGATCAGAGACCTAAGATGTCTCAAGTCATAAAGATGATAGAAAATGTCAAGCAGATTGATATAGAGAATCAGCCATGAACCAAGCAGAAAGTGCAACACTGCCCTCATTCTCTCAACCCCCAATCCCAAAAGGAAGTGTTTGATACATCAAGATACAAAGATGCTGCCTTTACTTGATTTGAGTTTATTTTGCTCCAAATTTTGAACAATGTGTTAATCCTTGTGTAACACATTCGCTTTTACTCAGAAAACGGGTAAATGATTTTGGACGCGCTGGTAAGAGCTCAATACAATAATTAAGAAAAGTAATTGCGTCTTTTCTGTTCGAATTGATAAAATATGAAGCAGGAAAAATTAACCAAATTTGAGCAGAAAGTCAACGTAGGCTTTTTAAGAAATATTGTTAAAAATGGAAGTTTTTTTTAAAAAAAAAAAACACTCACACACACACAAAATGGGAGAAGGCATATAATTGTCTCTGCAGCCAAATTCTTGTTGCTGAGATGCAAAACCTTAGCGATGGCCTCCAAGCGGATTTTGAAGGAGCTGAAGAATCTCCAGATTCTCATATTTGTTCCAACTCTTGTTTTGTTTGTCTCTACAAATTGGGTTTAGTTATTTTGTGGTGATATGATATATAATCTTGTTAGAAAAGTGATGTTAAAATCAACAAGAGGATAATCTCTGTTCAAAACACATGAAGATTCATGTGTTAGACACACGAAGTTAAAGCGTATAGAAACGTGTGATAACAAAATCGAAAAATTCGAGTCTAATGTTACATATTATGCCCTTAAGATAATATTTTCTTTTCTATAGTATCTAAGATTAGTGAACAATTGTCTTCTAGGATAAAATGTATTATCTCGATTACCAAAAAAAAAAATGCATTATTTCTATTCTTGTAGCAACACTTTCACATAAAATAACATCATCGAATTCAATCTTGTCTAATTAATCGCACTAGAGTAGAAGAATGCAAATAAATGCAAATACAAGTACAAAGAATGTACAAAAAAACAATCTGGGAAAAAACTCGTCTCTTAAAATTTTAATCCTTATTTATTTATAAAAAAAAATAAAGTCATGATTTAAATAACACTTATTCTACGACAAAGCAACACATTCATTCTGTGACAAAAGGAATTACATTTTCCAATTCAAACTTGTTATCCATTAACACTATTAATTCCAACAAATCCCAATATAAAACCTCGATCCTCAATGAAGTTGCTATCTTGCATCCAATCCTATATTCCCCTAATTTTAAATTTTTAATAACCCCAACATAAAGGGTTGCTCAGAACTTCTTTTATTGGGGCTTGGGGTTATTAAATCTGTCAAAGGTGTCAAGCCACTACTTTGGGTCAGTCCATTTTTTTGGTAGGCCGAATCATATATTTTAATCCAGTATTTTACTAACTTTGTCTAATCCAAAATTGTGTGAATTAATCCATTAGCCTATTAATTCTTTAAAAAATTCAAATAAATATTATTTTTTTTAAAAAACCAAACCATTTTAGGGTCTCAAATTAGTATTGATCCTTCATCTTATATCGCCACTGAATTGTTCGTTTAAAACTTACCCTTTCTCATTTGCTAATAGAAATCTTAAGAAATGAGCATTCAAGATGCTTGTGATACAGTTTTCAAAATGTTTGTAATTTTTCTGGGTTGACATTAAATCTTGCGCCCCAGTGGCAGAATTCATGTTCCATTGGCAAGTAACAATTATGGGTCCTCATGATATGGTCCATATCTAGGTGGAGTATTTCTTGTGACCATTCATTTCCCTCCATATTATACATTTAAGCCACCTAAGTTATTCATATCCTTGACTTGTTTTTATATTTTCTGTTTCTTATTTTTAGAAGATCCCCTGAATACGTGCAATGACATTGACTTTTTAAAATGATTTTACATTAACATTCGAGGGTGCCTCCCGTGTGCGTCATGGGGGGAACAAACTGTGTATAGGTTGAGGTATTGAATCAAATGGAGCCTCCCTTGACGAGAGGGTACCTCGGAATACAAAATTAGAATTATAACAATGGGCCATTCGATTAGACCATGGGTTGCCATAAAAGATGTCTAGTACTATAATGTTATGTGGACTAAAAAAAGGATTCGATCAATAGACCATCATCGTCGAAATTTTTTAATGAATGTTGATTTTGTTAGATAGAAATTCAAGTGTAAGTCATAAAAAGTCCATTAGAAATGAATGGGCTAAGTATAATATATTCAAGTGAAAGGATCCATGATTTAATGCTTAAAGTTTTGGGTTAAGATGTAGTATTAGATATCTTATTGTGAATTTGTTGCTTAAGTACATTTGATATGTGGATGGTAGTCATCCCAATTGAACTCCACTTGGCCGCTGCCCAATAGATTCAAATTCCATTGAAACATATGACAGTAATTTTTTACTAATGTTATTGAAAAATACTTTGAAAATTATGATAACATTTTTTGATGGGAACAATTTTGTGAAAACATTTTGACGGAATTTTATATAGATTTTGTCAAAAAATATGACCCTTATTTTTTATGGAATTTCAAAGAGTTGTGATTCAATCATTTTATATTCCATCAAAACTTTTGACAACAAAATTTTACAAACATACAAGGTAATTCTATCGAAAAAATTTATGGATTTATTTAAAATATATTTAATTTGAACAACAATTCTTCGACAGATATTAATTATTTTCAATGGAATTTTTCCGGTATCAATTTTTGAAAGAAACTAATTTTCATCGAAAAAATGGATTTCGATAACTTCAAATGAGACGATGCGAGCTTGTTGAAAATGAGAATTTTCTATCCAAAAAAATAACTTTTTCTAGTAGTGTGATGGTAAGGCATAACAACCATCAAATAAGCTATGAAATGAAACCACCACAATAAAAGGCTGTTTGGATCCTTTTATTTTTAAGCTAGAAGCAACTTATAAGCTAAAGCTAAAAAAAAGAGCTTAAAAAAATAAGCTAAAAGCTGTTTGGAAATTACATAAAAGTTTTAGCTTAAAAATTACTTAAAACACGTATTTCAAGAAAATTATCTCTTTCTATCTTTATCACTCTTCATTTAAAAAAAAAAAACACAATTCAATAAAAACAAATAAGAGCTTAAAAAAAGCTTCTCCTAGAAGCTTTTAGTTTTCAGCTTTTTTCTTCATTATAAAAAAAAAAGTTTTTCGTTATAAGAGCTTTTCTCAAAACCTGTTTGGCCTAGCTTATGCTTATAAGTAGCTTGTAGCTTAAAAAAGAGAGGATCCAAACAGACACTAAGTAAATTGGACACCACATCTCAACTTAAAACTTAAAAGTGTTGGGTTTACGAGTCCTTTCACTTATGTGATAATCACTTAGTCCATTTTTAACTAATATGAAACTTCATTACTCATATTTGATTTCCCAACATTCTTCCCCTCAAATATGAATTCCAAGCCCACATTTGCTCCTACTTAAGCTTTTATATCATTGTAGCATAACATGGGAGCTCATGGTAGAGGAGTACTACCATCAAAGGGGCTAAGTAACAAACCCACCATAATAAATGAACTCGGACATCACATCTCAATCTAATACTTTAAGGTGTTAGATTTGTAGGTTCTTTTACGTATTTGCTTCTCATTTAATCTATTTCCAACCAATATAAAACTTCAATACTCGCATTTAAATTTCTAAAAATATTTCAGATGTGTAAGTTCATTCCTACTTGAATTACATATTTTAAATTTTAAATATGTTAACAAACAAACACCAAATATGAAACTTCTGTTTTTCCCCTCCCTAAAAAAAAAAAAAAAACTTATTGACATGACAGTAAATAATAACTAAGTACTATTAAAAGCTTCAATGTGAATTTGTCGCAATACGAATCCCGGGTGCTTGTGTGGTTAAATATCCCTTGTTGTCTGTATGAAACATTATGATAGTGTAATGATAATAGCTCAAAACAAAGAACATCTTGGCCACAGTGCTCATTGACTTCCATAATAAAGATACATACGAGTGCGGTTAAACTCCAAAATGACAAATACCGGAGCTTCTCTGTATTTTGTGGCTCAAGGCATGCAAGCAAGTGTGCAACTGCGCCTAGGAGACGATGCTCATTGACTTATGATGTACTGTGCATTCCCAAAGCAAATTAATTAAAGACTAATGTTGCTGAATTAATTATACTGTACTGTAGCCCATGACTCCCTATACAAATTTCTCTATAATTGGGAACCTCAAGGAACGTATGATAGAGCAATTCGTTGGAGATTAACAAGTTTAGACATACGGCCATTTTGTCGTCTTCTTGGAAAAATTGTCGAGCCTTGCTTACCTGTTATGTTTGTTTTTAATTTTTATCACATTTGGGTTCATACATAGCTCTAGCGGGCAATATCCGAGAAATCAGAATGCTGTGAAGTAATATATTATTGTTAAATTGGTTGCTGTTTGGAAAATAATTTAGTGGCCCGGGAGTATTTAAGTAGACACTCTTTTTTATCAAATGCGGAAACTTTTTTTCCACTATTTTCATTTTTTTTATTTACATCCCAATTTTTTTTTTCATATTTGGAAAAAGGAAGCACCCACTTAGATACTCCTAATCTATTAAAGTTTTGTTCTTATAGGAGAATTGTTTTCTTCCACCAATAACTCTTCGATTTTCGTATAATATTTTTTTTAATAGATATGGGTCTTAGTACATGAAAAAATCAAAATTCAATTTTAAAACATAATTCATTATGTATGTATTTGATTTGTTTTAAATAAAGTATAATTTTATTTTATTTATTTTAATAAAAATATGGCACTATTTCATTTTGAAATGATTCAAGATCCATTTAAACAAATTGTAAGAGATGGCTTGACTTTTTTTTAGCTTATAGCTGCTTAAAAGCTAAAATTTAAAATAAAAGCTTAAAATAAATTTAAATCATTTAAAGATTATATAATTTTTTTAATTTTAAAACTACTTTGAGGTAAAATTATATAAATAGCTAGGTTTATTAATTAAAATATGAGAAGAGTTATATTTATAAATTTTTTTTTATAAACTACACTATTTATTATGGATAATACATATTACTTGAGCATATACTATCCATAATACACATAATATAGTTTATAAAAATTTATAAATATAACTTATCACTTAAAATATACCTTGTGAAATTTATTTATTTATAAATTTTTACCCTTGATTTGAAAGTTAGAGACTAACCCACGGAACAATTTTCAAGGTGGATGGTTTAGCTTTTGGAAAACCCCACACTTATAATTTGAACAAAAACTTAGCTGTCGGAACTTTTGCTCTAACCATAACTTTTAAGTTTTTAAAATTAAATTAAACATACATGCATGAAGTCTTTAAAAAAAATATAGCCATGCTAAGTACAAAAAGGATATTACTAATCTATGCTAATCGGTGGCGCCAAGTTCTAGGTTGCCTGCCAAGTTGCTAATCGGTATATAGTCCAAAACCCATTATGCCGCGAAGTTGTGAACTAACAATACTTTTTTCAAACTTAAAAATGGTATATTGCAGAGTAACGGGCAATAAACACTTTTTATACGACCAAAACACAAATTACACGGTTAAAACTTGAATTTGAGCCATAATTAACCGTTGCTTAAGAAGCTATTCAATTTATTTAATTCAATTAGAGTATCATACATTCATTACCCCCCTCTGCTACTTATTTTCAGTAAAAGGAGGACTGATCCGATTCCAAGTGTCTCACCAGTCACCACACGTGACTGGAATGGTCTTTGTCCCACCCCACTTGTCGTTTTTTCATTTGCCTGGTATGCATGATGTTTCTCTAACGGTTTCGGTACACCGAACCACTAATTACTTCTGCAATTAAGTTTAAAATTAATTTGACATATGATACGGAACGAAAGTTTAGAAAATTAAAAAATATTAAATTAACGAAGAGGTCCGTTGGTTCCTATAAAATAGGATTCGTTAACCAAAAAAAAAAATCAGTACTTGGTCTTCTACTTGGGACTCTGAGGCCACAGCGTCCCATAACCATTCTTCATTTCAGTGACTGTTCCATTTCATCTCATACCCCTTTCATTTTTAGGTAGTAGTAGTACAGTACTACTCCTTGTGGTAGTCCTCAGGGCTCCGTTAATTTATTATTTCAATTATAGTTATAGCTATACAAAGAAAGTACGTTGATTAACAAGCACTGGCTGAGCAGAGCCAGAGCACAGGCCGTGATTGGGGCAACACACTTAACCCCTTCTTAATTTCAGGTAAAACTGTTAAAACAATGATAATTTTTTTAAAAAAAATTCCTTTATCTCTTTAAACTTTCCCTGAAATTTTCATGCTTATCTTTAGCCCCACATTACAGAGGCCACAGCTCTTAGGTGTGTCTCATTCTCATTTCCCTTCACTTTTTTCGTACCTTGTGTCCCCTGCTTGACTCAACTTGTGCTGCGCTCCCTCCACCCTCAGTTCTCTGTTTTGTATCACTATCACGCCCCCTCCCTGCATACATACACTTCTTTTCTCTCCTTTTTAACTCATCTTTCCTTGAAATTACTCCTTCTTTATTAACTTTCTCAACCATATCTATTCACTCCATACATTCATATCAGATTTCTCTCCCTTTTAAGACCGTCCTCTCTCTCTCTCTCTCTCTCTCTCTCTCCCTTTGCTTTACCCTCGCCGTGTCGTGTCCCAAAGGAATACCTCTCTCATCCTTTTTTTTTTTCTTCCCCCTTTTCCATCTCTATTTCACTCTTCAACTTCCACTCCCTCCACCGTTTTGCCTTCGTCTTTCAACATCAATGCTATCCCCAAAAACCTAGCACACAAGCTCTACCCCCAACATGTCTACGATGAAGTACACTCACCACCTTAACCGCACCAAACTCGTCATACCAGCGGAAGAACACCCACTAAAGCAACCTTTTCCGAGAGTGGTGAGGATAAGCGTCACAGACACCGATGCTACCGACTCTTCTTCCAGCGACGAGGAACAAGGCTTCCGGTCTTCCACGCGCCACCGACATAAAAAGTTCGTCAACGAGATTGTTATTGATTCGTGCACCAGCGAGATTGACGGCGTCGTTTCGAGGAAGAGAAGCAGGGCCAAGTCAAGCGCCCCCGTCAAAGACAGAGTCCCGGCGAGTCGGCGTGTCTCCTCCGGCAAGAAATTCCGGGGAGTGAGGCAGAGGCCGTGGGGAAAATGGGCCGCTGAAATAAGAGACCCATTGCGACGCGTACGGTTGTGGTTGGGTACTTACGACACTGCTGAGGAAGCTGCAATGGTGTACGACAACGCGGCCATCAAGCTGCGTGGACCCCACGCGCTCACCAATATCATAACGCCACCAACCGCGAGGCAGTGCTCGCCGGAGAATCAAAAGCCTCCGCCGGCGGTGGTGACCGGCGGTTACAATTCAGGGGAAGAATCTCAAAACAAGAATTTGTTTTCTCCAACTTCTGTGCTGCAGTGTTGTTCGTTATCCGAGGAAGGTGAATCTGTAACGGCGAAAGATGATGAATACTGGTGCGTGTCGGAGAATAATATATGTGATGAGAAGGTCAAATGTGAGTCGCTGTTTCCAATTCCAAGCGATATACAATTTGACTTGCAAGGTTATTGGCCCGAAACGGATGTGTTTGGCAACGTGAATAACGACGTACCGGAAAGCATCTTGTTTGGCGATGATTGGAACGGTGTGTTTCTCACTTCCTGTGAGGATTTGGATTTCGGTGTCAAAAGTTGGCATACAGATAGAGGACATGACTTTTTCCAAGACATTGACGATTTATTTGTTACAGATCCGCTTCTTGCTCTTTGATTTCATGGATTGTTTTTTTGCTTATAACAAGGATTGGATTCTCGTCGTTGTGTTGCCCCAAAATCAGCAAATTTTGTATCGGCGGGAAATATGACTATTGTAATAGCTAATCAATTTTTATTTTCGTTTTGGTGTTATTTGTAACAGTAATGTAGTAATTATCACTCGTGAGAATCAACGTTAACAATTATCTTTGGATATTCTTATTTCTATTATGATATTTCACAAATTTGATAGTGTTTTTAAAGTTTGGTATAAGTACTATTAGCATTTATTTTAAGGAAAATATTACTCTCCTTTTACATAAGATAGCTTTTCTCATTCTCTTTCACTTCAATTTTCGTACCCCATCTTTTTTCTTTTTTTCTTTTTTCTTGTAATGGTGGGACCCACTCATTTTCTCTCTACAACATAAGATAACTGTCTCATGCGAAATGAGACTAATAAAGCCCTTATTTTAATCACGATTTTTATGTGCCCACAAAGTGTCTTTATACTTTTGAGTCGGGGACTAATCAGTGCTCAAGTCCCAACAAAGAGATGCATATGCATTCATTTAGTGTTAAATATCCTCGCTACAAATAAAATAGGGCATACTTTAATCATGTTCTAAATTATTACCTATATAACAAATTAAGAAGACAGTAGTTATGTTTAACAATTTAGTTTTTATTTACGTATGAATTTACGAAAAGCAGCTAATGGTAAAGTGAATCAATATTTCTTACTTAATTAGGCTAATATCATATTTAAATTTTTGGTGAAACCGTGAAAGGAGGGTCTTTCAAACAGGATCTATCAAATAAAATCATTTCTAGTGGAAGGAGGGTCCTTCAAAGTTTAAACATGGTAACTCTCACATCACAGTCCTCACGTGGGAGACAGATTAAAGAATTAATAAAATCTTGTTCATTTTAAAAGTATTTCATGTAATTCAAATATAATACTGTTGAAACTTGAAATATATAAGAATTTATTGCGGTAGAGGCAATATTAATGTAATACTTGTATTTAATTCAAGTTGTTTGATGGGTGAATGGAGCCTACATTAGTAATTGGTTCAAGTCTTATATATATTATTTGTCATGAAGAATTCAAGCAGGAGTTTTACCTAAAATTAAAGCCTTTGTGACTGGAATTTCAATCACCACACATTTACAAAGAGTCGTTAGGGACTCTTGGGTGGTTTAAGGAGGATGATTGCAACTTTCTACTTGTCAATTTTGCCTTGAATTTAGGAAGGGGATTTGTTTGCATACCCCTTTATTCAGAGTGAGGGCTGTTCTAAGATGATTGCGCAACATATACTAATGTGGAGAGGCTTGCAAAATGAGATTTGAAACTATTTTAAATTGATCATTTCTTTAATTCACTCATTTTGTTATTTTTTTAAAGTATTTCTACTTCACTTTAAAACAATTGGAAAAAAAAAAGTTGTTACTGAGTTGGACTCTATCATCTTTCTAGTCGATATCTAAAGGATGTGGAGAGGCAGTCAATTCAATTCATGAAAAACTTTTTCTATTTTATATGTAGTTAAAGTTTTTAATAAGGATCAACCAACCGAAATAATAGATAACCTAAATAGTTTTTTTATTTTGGTAAAAACAATAGTTTTTATTTTATTTTATGAATAACTCATCTCATAATTAATTATATAGTTGTTATTGTATAAATAAATATTCAAATAATCCTTAATTTTAATATTTTAACTTCTTACTGAGAAGATAGCAACAATTTGAAAAAGCGTAAACTTTGCTTAAAGCATGGGTATACATAATGTATTTAGAAAGAACTGTTAGGTTATGTGCGTGTATAAAAATCAACCCAATATAAAGTTTTACTGTATAGTAATTGAATTTTTCTGGGAAGGCTGACATTTAAGCTGTTTATTTACTGTGCATACAATAATACACTCTAGAAATTAATTTCAGCCGTGTTTATTTATGTAGAGTCTGTTCGAGTGAATTTATACCTGTCAACAACATACTTCGCCAGATATCAAGCCTTGTAAGTTGTGAACAATTTTCGTACCAGAAAACTGTGCTAGGGGATGATTTGGTTTTGTGGCACAGTAACAACCGCCCATAGTTAATTTGTGCTGACATAGACCATCCCCTTTAGGGATTCAATTCATGCAAACAAGAAAAGATTTTCACTCGAGTTACTGATAACAAGTTTTTTTTTCTTTTTATTATTATCTATTATTATAAAGAAGCTAATCTGGCTGTCAAGTGTCAATAGAATAAAAAAATAATTATTATTTTCTCTAGAAGTGATGCGAAATTAGTCAACAATTAAATTCAATAACAGAAAGTCAAATCTATCAATTGTGTCTGTTACATTTTTTTTTTAAAAAAAAATAGCCAAAATAGTTAAGAGAAAAAGAAAAGGGCTTTTGGCCCCCTCAAAGGCCAAGACATTCAGATACGGGATACCAATAAGCTTATTTTCCGTTTTTATTTTCTGTTTTGGCCAAATTGAGGCCTGTTCCCAACTTCCCAATAAAAAGCAAAAGAAAAAGTAAGACAGGATCTCTAAGATGCCAAGTGTCACATAAAATCAGAATTGAGGTTGAAGACAACATGAAAATGCGTTTTGGCCCTTTGGGTTGAACGCAATTTCTGACACAAGCAGAGGGGAGCAAGTGGCACGGTACTTGGATACTTTTCATGGCACTATGTGAGCGGAAAAGCAGAAATTCGTAGCCATTGCATTTGGACCACATTAGGCTGCTTTTTATCCACGCTTTTTTTTCCAAAGTATTATTACAATGCAATGATGCATACTCTCGCTCTTTATTCTGCTAAGCAAACTTCATTTCTAAGAGAAAGGTGGACGTTAATTTATCTTACAATAAACAAACATGTATTGTCTGTCAATAGCAAAATCTTCGTACCTTGCATTGTGCAAAATGTAAACCCGCACTCCATTTGCTCCATTTAATTTGGAATCTAACATAAACCTATTATTTCTGAGAAACATTATGCAAAAGAAGGTAACAGGAAGAAGATAGCAAGAATTATAAGATAATACATAGGTTAGAAAAAACAAAATAATGCTGGGAAGCGGCCAGGGGGTCCAAAGACTATTATCCACACATCAAATGAGTCTAAACAACAAATTCACAACAAGTGATTATCACCACGTTTCAACCAAAAAATTTAAGGCATTTTACTTATGTTTAGCCCATTACTTTTTATTGTGGGACTTTATTCCCAATAACTTAGAATAAGATAAAGATACTACACAGATTAGAAAAAAAAAATAAGAATAAAAAAATATAGTACAAATAAGTGTAATTATTGAGTAATAGTACTTTATTGTATTTACTTGGAGATTGATCATGGAACTTGGTCTTCAAATGAACCCTTTTGAGTTGGCTGGACTTGTATATATATGCTGATTTGGCTGGGGTTAATCCCGTGATCATCTGTCTAGTTTTGTCCTTGGGCATCTTACCTTTTTCCTTGACCAAAAAAAGAGAAATTTTTGGACACTGATCATACAAATTTTCAAAATAATTAAATTTTGTGCATGTCTTATGCATAATGTATTTTAATTTTTTAAAACCCTTGTTTCACAAATTTTCATTCACATGATTCATTTTTGTAAAAAGGGATATATTTTGATTCGTGTACGGTAGAGCTCAAAGATATGAAAATTAAGATGTGTCACTACTTCATAACCAAGTGTCCGAGAGTAAAGAATAAGTAGATTGGTTCACTCTTTTTTCTTTCTGTTTTATCAACATATCTCATCTACTTACTATATATCCACAGTTGGAAATGGAGGAAATGAACGAATGTAAGTAGTGGGAAGACCCATATATATAGGAGGAAAAGGGAGGAAGAGAAGACTTTACACAAGGCCCGGCTTCACTTCTTTCGATTGCCCATTGGGCATTTCATTTTTATATAAAGAGAGAGAGAGAGGATATAGGTGCTATGTTGTTCACCACACATGCGCGCTACCTTGCGCATGGGAAATCTAACTGTATGGTTCATTTGTTAGAGGTTCTTATTTTTATACTGTCTTATTTTCGGGTTCATCTTTAAGCTTCTTTTTTCTTACACTTATTAGTTTAATATTTTACGCATACACAAACAGCATTTATGAAGAAGCGAATTTTTGTTCATTGTTATTAATCTACTATAAAACTATAGTATATAATGACATTCTTTGTCGTATGCAATCCATTTGCCTGTTATTTGTTAGGATAAATTATTACATCCACGATCTTAGCCGTTTCAAATGTATGCAATATCAGATTAATTTCAAAATAAGAATTTAATTTCTGAATTCAATACTTCACTTAATTTAATTTTCAAAAGAAAATATCTCATTTTCCGAAAATAAAAAATGAAAGCCATTTTATGTAAAGCGACAAAAAAAAAAAAAAAAAAATCCTTATATAATATGCGTATCATGCTACGCTGTCGCTGATGCTTGCATACAAACATTTCCTACTGGGCCTCTCTGCAGCAGCACGAAAATATATCGGTCTTATATGTTATGTCCTCCATATACAGACCATACCATAAACGTATATAGAAAAGCTAATTATACCTCATCCATGGACCACGATCCATGCCAACAAGTTGAAACAATTTATTTTATGGAATACATCTTATCGCTTAAACATCAAAATGACAAACATGCTCTTCATGCTCCTCGCAAACGTCTCTTTCACTGATTAATGAGTCACATCTATGTAAGTTTTGATCAATAAATATGTTTGATATCTCCGTATAGTTTCATTAAGATCGTCATGTGCAAGTTTATGATAATTAATGATCCACTAGACTTTAGGCCACAGATATGTCTCTGTCTGGTAGATCACGGATAAGAGATTTTATATATTCGAAAAATTAAGGCCTGGCCTGCGTATATTGTCTTATCTACAACTGGGATTTCTTAAACTCAGCATCAGCAAGCCCACTTGGTGCTTTTTTGCTTTGGCAGTGCAGGGCTTTTACCATATTCAAATTCTCAAGCAGATTTGGTCCCCCACCCTCATGCATGTTATACTATAAGATTTGTGCCCCATCAACTTTCCATGTCTTGCATTTCACATCATCATCAAATCATTCATTTATGTATAAATACTGGAGACATTACTTTGTCCCATGAAAGATACTAATCCCTTTAATTAAATTGGTGAATTAATTATATAATTTTCCCTTTCCACAAGAGAAACAGAAGGTTACGTCCAAACCAGCCACATATAACACAC